AGACTATTTCTCTGACCGCCAGACTCCCTGACACTTGAGGATTTTTCCTCTCCCAAAACAGCAGATAGGTAATATATAAAACAATTAGGAAGTATCTTAACTGGTCTCTCTGAGTTTGCTTCCAACAGGCTCCAGTTCCTTACTAATGGGCCTCTTCACTCTTTTAAAACAGGAAACCAAGTCAGTCCACCTGAAGACCTAGATAGATCCCACCAGGCTGAAGACCAGCTGTGACCACAATGGGCTGGCCCTTTTAAGGTGCTGCTGATCACACAGTCATCTGTCAAGTTAGCCAGTGTTAAGCCACAGATTCACCATACTTGGATAAAACCAGTCCCTCTGGGATCCCTCCTGGGGAAACAGTCACAGTCTTGTGAACCCTCAGATGGCCTTACGTTAGTATTCAAAGCCCAGGCAAAGCCTCTAGATAAGAAATCACAAAGGGACCATATGGTTTCCAGGATTATTCTCATGGATTCTCCCAAGGATGGCACACAGCTAGGACCATTCTAGAAGGGTAGTTAATTTATTGCATTCAATGAATGCTTTAGCCACTGTAACCCTTAATACTTCAATGCATATTTCCTAGAATAGGAATATTTTCTTACATAATTGAAAAACAATGTAACAATGAAAAACAATTCAGAAAATTCAACATTGATAAAATATTTCTGCCTCGTCTACCATCAATAGTCCAATTTTCTTTGTCCCACTAATTTTTCCCTCCAAAAGAATTCTGCTTTAGATTATATATTCCTTTAGCTGTCACATATCTTTTTAGTCTTTCAATCCAGAACAATTCCTTAGCTTTCATGACATAGACAATTTTTAAAGAATACTGGCCAGTTGTTGTTTTTTTAACAGTATATTTCTGATTTTGGCTTTGTCTGATGTTTCCTCATGATTAAATTCAGGTTATGCATCCTGAGCCGAAATACTACATAGTGATATTGTATTTTCAAAGGTTACATTAGTTTTGATCACTCAAACAAAGTATTGTCTGGTTCTCCATCATATAGTTACTATTGTCCCCTAGCAACTGGTGGGAGACACTATAAGGTCATGCAAATATCTTGTTCCTCATCAAACTCTTCCTCAATTTCAACTCTAGATTTATTAGTCATCAATGATGCTTGCCTAATAAATCTTTACTATGCTGATTGCAAAGTGATTCTCTAATTTTATCACTTATTCCACATTTATTCATCAGCATCTGACTATATGGAAAAATCCTTTCTTTTCCCCGTCCGTCATCCATCCATCCGTCCGTCCATCCATCATCCATCCATCCATCATCAGTATCAACTCATGGATTTCCTCCTCCTCCTTCCTCCTTTTTCTTTCTTAGAGACAGAGTCTCTCTCTGTCACCCAGGGTGGAGTAGAGCAATGCAATCATAGCTCACTGCAGCTTCCAACTCCTGGGCTCAAGAGATCCTCTGCCTCATCAGCCTCCTGAGTAGCTGGGACTTAGGCGCATGCCACCACGGCCAGCAAATTTCTTATTAGCTCAAGGGATCCTCCCACCTCAGCCTCCTGAAGTGCTGGGACTATAGGTGTGAGCCACCACACTCAGCCTGGATTTCTGCTTTTTTAGGTTTGATATTGTCCTTATTTATTTTGATGCTCAGATAGTCCCTGATTTGACCAGGAGGAGCTTCTTCAAGCTAGCTTCTGTGTTCTTTCAACATGCCTCCATTGTTTTGACACTTTCTTGCTTCCTTGCTTTTAAGATGTCCCAGGCTAATCTTACACCTTTCCTGCCCCAGTCCTGGAGAACAGACATTTTCCCAAAGATCCTTATTTCTTTTAGTAGAGAACTAAAAACCAAAATATGAGTACCAGGTGTGTTCATTGCTATCAAGGTAAGTGTGAGTCTAGACCTATGCTGTCCAGTTTGGTAGCCCCTATCCACATGTCATTACTTAAATTAAAATTAATAAAAATAAATTAAAAATTCAGGTCCTCAATTGCATAAGCCACATTTCATGTGCTCAATACAATGTGTCTGGGAACTATCATATTGTACAGCATAGACATATAGAACATATTAATAATTATAGAAAGGTCTATGATTCTCAAGACTTTTCATTAAAAAAGAATATATATAATATTATATATAATACTTATTAAAAAGATATTCTATGGAATATCACTATTGTAGGCTCTTGCATCAGGTAAATTTAGGAAACACGCGTGCAGACACACACACACACACACACACACACACACACGCACGCACATTCATGAGTTTCTACTCTCCATTGCCTTTTAAGTATTTTCCTATGGTTCCACGATATCAATTCTTTAAAACATTAAACAATTATTTATTGAGCACATATTATTGAACATGTATGTTCAAGACACTGTAAATCTAGAAATAAAATATAGTCTCTGTTCTCTAAAATACTACCATTTAATGAGAGGTCAGAAAAATAAATGAATTTTTATAGAATGGAATGATAAATTCCAACATAGTGAAGTTAAAACAGGGTGCTACAACAATTCTTCCATTCCAAGGAAGGCTTCCTTAGAGAAACAGCATTTAAATTGGTTTTAGAAAGGTAAATAGCTATTGGCCTGGTAAATTTGAGGGATAAGTTGAGGGGTGAGGGCATTTGCTATTCTCCATACCTTTTTTCATCTCTGTTCCAATTATTCACTTCAAATGCTTTCTCTTTCTCTTACCCTTCAAAACTCTGCTTATCTTTCACAGCCCATCTTTTTAATATATTTCTTATACCTCTAACCAGACAAACCATCAAATATATTGTTCTTACGGATTTACGACCCACAAAAGATTTTATTTTTGTTGTTATTTATACATACAATGGGTAAGAACATGGGCTCTGGAATCAGACTTACTGCTTACTAGCTATGTGACTTTGGTCAAGTTACTTTATCTCCCTAAACCTCAGTTTTGGCATCTGAAGGTGGGATGACTAGTACCTGATAGTTATACGTTTGACGATTAAATAAGATAATGTGCTAAAAGGCTCAGCACAGTAGTGACTGGAACATGGTAAACTAGGTAGTCTGCTGGTAACAACAACCCTAAGTCGTGTTTCTTCCTTTGTTTGCTGAAAGTTTTAAAATCACTCACACCTTCTCAGGTCAATCTCTGTATCCCCAAAACACACATTACACCATCTAAGTGACATCTAGCAAACCACTTAAATTATTCAAGCAGATTTCTTCCAGTCAGAATACTCTGCATATTCATATATTATATTTTAGACAGACAAGTCTATGTATAACTGAAAAACTCACATTTTCAAAAATGTTATTTATTTATTGTTTATAGCAACTTTAAATAAGATTATTAAATAAAACATAATTTCATGGAAAAAGATTTTAATAAAAGTCGTTTCTCATTAGGTTGACTTAGGTCAAACTTTTTTAGATCGTGAAATGAAACAATTTTTAGAAGAGTATATTCAAATTGAGGAATCATGCATTAGTATGACAATAGTTCAATAATATATGAACTACTAAGTGGTAAAAGTCTTTTAATAAAAACAAATTTGTCAGAATCCAAACTCCTATTTATAAGTGAATCCTAATTTTAGAAAGAGCTTAAAATTAGGTCCTGATAAAATAAAACTTAACTTGAGAAAGCTAACTGAAAAAAAGCATCTTGATTTTTATACCAATATATTTAAAGTAGCTAATGTACTGATAATAAGAAAAGTCAACACTAAATAATAGCACAGAAAGTCTCTCTCCTTTGCCATATTGTTAAACAATCTAAAAGAATGGGGCAAAGCATGTTATACAGCAAGAACCAGAGAAGACTTACTTTGCCCTTCAGCACAGCTTATTTGAAGTGCACCGAAAGAAGTGAGCCATTGTTTCGTGTACAATGAAAAAGGTGTTTTCCAAATGAATGGCTTTAATGAAGTAAATTTTACTTGTTTAAAGTGGAGGAATGAACATCTAAAATTTCATTGCTTACGTTCTTGAAAAAGGAAGAGGAACGCTCACCAAGATTAATAAACATCAGACCTCAAAAGGGAGGGCTTCCGCCAAAATAACTGACAGCTGTGCAGATTTTCTTCACCTGAGCAAGCAACCATAAGACAAATATAGGCCAGGTTTGGTGGCTCAGTCTGTCAACCCAGCGCTTTGGGAGGTCAAGGTGAGTGGACTGCCTGAGCCTACAGGTTAGAGATCAGCCCAGGCAACCTGGTGCGACCTTGTCCCAACAATAAATCAAAAAACAGCCAGGCGTGGTAGCACACGCCTGTAGTTCCGGCTACTTGGAAGGCTGAGGTGGAACGCTTGCCAGAGCCCAGCAGGTCGGAGTTGGGGTGGCCATAAGTGTACCACTCACTGCACTCCAGCCTGGGCAACAAAGTGAGATTCCAACTCAAAAAAAAAAGACAAATATGTAGTACATTTGTGTTTTCCTTATTACCCTTACCAGTACATTTTAAAAATTACCTTGACATTTTTCTTTCAAATTAATTTGAGCATAATAGCAGATTAAAAACAAAAACTGGAGCCAGGCTCGGTGGCTCAGCCTGTCATCCCGCGCCTTTGGGAGGCTGAGGTGAGTGGACTGCCTGAGCCCGCGGGCTCGAGACCCGCCTGGGCAGGGAGACTTCATCTCTACAATAAATCAAAAAATCAGCTGGGCGTGGTAGCGCATGCCTGTAGTTCCGGCTACTGGGAAGGCTGAGGCAGAAGGATCGCCGGGGCCCAGCAGGTCGAGGCTGCGGTGGCCGGGAGTGGCCACTGCACTCCAGTCTGGGCGACAGAGTGAGACTCCAACTCAAAACAAACAAACAAACAAACAAACAAAAAACTGGGAATATGAGAAGTTTTAGAGTACAATGCTATTCCACTTATGTATTGTTAATATCTATGACATCATTTATAAACTATACTCTTAAGTATTCTATATGTCAATATTCTAAATAACTACATAAAACCCACATCTTGTATATGAAATATAGACAATGAAATCTTTGATCATATTTTTCCCAAAGGTGGCCTTACCTGCGGAGTCCAGTAGAAAGCAGGGCTCAATCTGTAGAGTTTTCGCTTGTGGAAACTCTGAAGTGGCCTTGTTCGGGCTGCTGTACTCGTCACAGTCAAGGATGGAGATTTCAATCTCGTCCTGTCTTTTCTCCTTTTCTTACTGTGCTTCTGGTTAAGAAACCAGCTGCTGGAGGACGGCAGCTCATCTAAGTTCTCTGAAGCACTGAAATGCAGTGAAATAATGAGGGAAAGGGAATAAAACAAAATATAAGCAAACAGAAAAGACAAAGAAAACTAAATGCAAGTTGCCTTGATCTATTATGACAAAAGAGCATTAACTTTAGCCAATTTTATGGAACAACTAAGTTGTGAAAATAATTTTCGCTTCTATTTTCTCATGTAAAGCAAATATTCCGTAAGTTAGAAAATGCTCACAAGTTCACTATGATGTAAATCAATTTGTGTATATTACATACTTTTAACTACTTATATAAAATTATTCTTGCATATGGGTGAAATTACATAGATTACAGGCTTGAAAAGTCTCATCGCTGCATCGTTAGTAGCTCTAAAATAAGCACTACATACCATTTTGGTGAATTTTGAAACAAAGCTGTAACCATCCTATATTTCAGAAGTCTTTAAAAACTTCTGATACAAAAGCTACAGTTATAAATAAAATCATACAAGTTGCACATGAAAAACAATTTTATAATTATTCTTTATATTAATTTTTAAACATTATATTTAAATCTTTAGGATACTTTACAAAATCAGAACATCAGAATTAAGTTAACCTTCACTGCCACATACATTTAACTTCATTTGTATTAGCATGTAGTATATAAAATAATTAACCTTTTTCAGGCACAAGGTATCCATTTCAATTTCACTTATGTAGACAAAGCTAGTCAATTTAGTATTCTACCATTAACAAGTGAATCTGTTACATGTAATACTTCTACTCAACACAGATGTTCTAAATACACTATTTGGCTCAAATAGAATTGGTGTTTACCAGTAAATAGAAGAAATGGTTTTTCTATATATAGAATTATTATTCTTGGATCATATTTATTGCTGCTATAAAGTATTCTACTAGCTTATGGGTAAAGCAAATAATTTAAGAATGCTTTATATAGTAATGAGAAACCAGAAATAAAGGAGTCTGAATGGGTTATAGTGGTGAGACCAAAGAGAATAATATGGCATTTGGTGACTATCATACATTCAACAAATACATAATTATGTACTACTGTCTGGACCAGTATAGAAAACAGTACTGATGACAACAATACCACTTTTCAAAACACGAACTTAAGTCTCCAAAGAGCTCTAGCAAGAAGGCTTTAAGTGTCAGTTAATGAAAGGTTTTAAAGATCTTCTGTCAGGTAGCTGGCTAAGATTTAGGATATAATGCTACTCTCAAATGAACAAATCCAGTCATAGCCAAATGTTATTTTCTGTGATGGCAACACATATAATATGTATTGTCCATGAAAAACTTTGGCTAAGTAACAGTCTGCTCTTGAGACATCAGCTATGGAGCTGGGGCACCATGTCAAGGGTGAGCAGAAGGCATACAGGATAGCCAATATGAAGTTAGGCATGGCAGACTAGGTGGCTAGCACAGAAATGAGTCAAGGCCAGGAACAAAACAGGTCCCAGTAGGTAGAAGGTGTGAGAGGTGATCAAGTCAGGAGAGTTAGGATCTAGGAGTAGACCCAGCACAGAAAGAGGTTTTTGTCCAGCAAGACAGAAGCACCTTTAGGTAAAGCTTACACTGGCTTCTTCGGAGACATTGCTCAGGTAGTGTCTAGGGAAAATTAAAAGCTTTGATTCAAGACATATTTAACTAATTCTTCCCTTTATTTACAACTCTTTAGTTGTTAATGAGATTTTAGCTTTCCCCAGAAGGCTTAGTCCCAAAGAAAGTGAGCCATCATCTAATTAAATGAATGGCTACACCTTCTGAACTAGCAGAGGGCTCATAGGCTGGCTTAAAGATAACTAGAAAACTTGCCCTTTGTGTCACTAAATGTTCCATGATCATGCATCACTTAATGATAGTTATGCCTTCTGAGAAATGCTTCATTAAGCAATTCTGTAGTTGTGTGAACATTACAGAGTAAGCTTACACAAACCTAGATAGTATAGCTTACTACATACCTAGGTTATATGGTATAGCCTGTTGCTCCTAGGCTACACACCTGTACAGCATATTGCTATACTGAATACTGTAGGCAATTGTAACACAATGGCAAGTATTTGTGTACCTAAACATTAAAAAGGTAATGAGCTGTACTATTAACATTACAGTAGCCACAATGTCACTAGGTAATAAGAATTTTTCAGCTCCATTATAATCTTATGGGACCACCATTGTACATTTGATCTTTCATTGACTCAAACGTCATTATGTGGCACATGCCTCTGTATATTTTAAAGTTTCTAAGGTGGCTGATATGTTATCTAAGGTGGCTGATATGTTATCAGAGAGAAAAAGCTTAGTTTTGTTCTTTTTCTTATGTTCCCAACTTCAGGCAATTCATCCTTAGATTCCAACACTTTCTAAGTAGTAAAGATTCTTACAAAGTGTCATCAACATTTATCCCAATCAAATAAATGAGGGAATTTATGGAAACTTAAATATGTTTACTTCTCTACAAATCAATGTACAAATTACATATTCTCACCAAAGCTAATTTGGTACATAAACCACTTTCATAAATAATGAATGAGGGTTGTTGTAAATTAGTATTGCAAATCATTGATAAATTCACTTATTTTGCACAGTTTTTTACATGAAAGAAAAGGTCAATTAATGAACCTAACTGAAAGCAAAACACGAGGAAAATCCTGAGACTATTATAAGGAAGATAATACAAGCCTGCTCCTGAGATTGTAATTTAAGACTTTTTCCTTTGGAGGCAATAATAGAATAACCAGGTAATCATCAACTAAAATAGGAACTTAAGATAAAGATATCATCAATAAGTCAATATAAGATATCATCATCACATGACATTCTTTAAAAAAGTATTAATAATAAAAGGAGAAGATCCAGGAGGAAAAGAACATTTCAATAAGTGATAAGGCTTAATGCTATCACTGAGCTTATGGTATACCTATGAAATCCCAAAACTGAGGATGAATAGGTTACTGTCACATACTGTCATGTAATTATTAAAATAATGATCAGTATACAGGCCTTTAAAGTAGCACATTTACAAGTAAGATCAGACCAGCTGAGTCAATAAATTATATATTTTCTTAGATTTCTAACTAGTAGCTGTGGAATAATGAAAATCTCCCAAATGATAGCCTATATCCTTTCTATTATAGGCACATAGCATAACTTGTTTTCAAAATCAATTAAATAATTGGGGAGGGGGAAGTAGTGATGGTGGGTTTTCAGGCTTATACTTCTCTCCATTTCCATTGCTTCCTCCCTAATCCAAGCTATCTTGTGCCAGGACTACTTCAATCGCCCTGTAATTAGTGTCCCTCACCCACACTTTTTTTTTTTTGTCTCCAGCCCCTTCTATACTAGTCTTTTGCAAAACCCAATCTGACTTATAGCTCAACTCAACTGAAACTGGACCCATTTCCTTGTAGAACTGACATTTATGGGTTTTTGAATAAACACAGAAATTAATCCACTCACATTTAAAACTTGAAACTTAACATTTGTTCTGAGTTCCTTCCTTAGGAAACCAACTCTCAGGTAAGGACTGAAACTTAACACATCACTGTGTCCAGGTAATGAGATGCCAGGTCCCTTATTAATCCTGATTGCTTCCTGACCCTAACTGCTGTTTTCCCACATAAAGTTGCATTCCTCCTCCTGCTATGTAAGACCCCTCAATTTTAGTTGTTTGAAGAGACAGATTTGAAACAGTCTCCCATCTCTTTGGCTGATGTCACCCAAATAGAAAGCCTTCATTTCTGGCCATGTTCTTTGTCTCAGTGATTGGCTTTCTGTGAGCAATGGGACCTAGAATGAATTCCCTGGCGTATCAGTAACAGATCTTGGTTTTCCAACTGGCAATATGGAGCTTATGTCTTGGGGGTTCATAGGCCAGAGAGTTTCAGAAGCTCTCTTAAGCATAGCTGTCCCAGTATTTTGAGAACACACCCGTCCACACATACTGCTTAAAACCTTTCAAAGCCTTCCCATTGCTCCTGAAAGACAGCCTTACTCTTTTAAAAGCTCATGCTTGGTCTGGACTCTGCCTAGCTTCATAGCTCTCTGGCCTCATCGTGCACTATGATCCCCCTTGTTCTGTGTTCTCAGAAAGAAAATAAACTTTCTATATGAGGAACGGAAGCCCCTTTCAGGCCCAAAGAGGCATTAATATGTGACAGCAGTCATGTCTCACTCACCCTTGGGCTAAATAATTACCTCTCGAAGCTATGTGGGCTCTAGACTAACTGACGCCAAGTAGCCATACAGTGCCATATACCGAACATGAGACTCCTACTGTACAGTTCAACAATGTATATATACTCAGTCACTAATCGATGGTACTTCTGTCAGCCGTGAGAATGCCTGTCAAACAGTTCTGCATCAGCCCACTCTTCGTCCCATTTTTCCTTTAAAAACTTGCTTGTAACAAAGGCCAAATGGAGCACTTTCCAGTGATTCCCGGGCTGAAGTCCTCAACCTTGGCCCACATAAATTCTGTATATCAATTTTGCCCTGGTTTCTTTTCTTAGGTTGACATTCCGACCACACTGCCTCCTTTCATTTCAAATAACTCACATTTGATACAGCCTAAGACCTACTGACATATTATTTCTGCATTGTTCATCTTTCCTTCGTAGCATTTTTCATAGTGGTTAATTTTATATTTATTTGTATAATTATCTCATTAATGTCTGTCTCCCTTTCTAGACTGTCAGTAGTATAGAGACTGTGTTAGTTTTGCTTACCCTTGTCACAAGTTCCTGATATTGTGCCTTGCATATAGCAGATGCACAATTATTTGTTGAGAATTGGAGAAATACCGTACATACGTATATGTTGTCAGGTTTATCAATCCAGCTCTGTACTTAGTACAGCATATCCATACCACAAACTACACCTAAATAATTAGTTTGGGGAATAAGTAAATACTAAAAGCTACAAGTCTAAAATTTTCTTCTAATCTCTAAAAACTGCAAAAAGACAGTTTTACCTTAGAAAATAATTAGAAAGTCACACGTTCATATTTTTAGTAA